AATTGATTTATGTGAAAGATATATGATGGTAAATTAAATTACCTGCAGTGGTGTATTTTGAAGATGATTTATCAACAAAAAATAATTTAACGATATATTCGTACTTCAAATTAATGATATTAATTGTTCATTTAAAAGTAAAAACGAAACTTATGAATATAAGGAGATATACCAAATAATCCTTGATTACATTAAGTCGCATGATTTGGCTGACAAGAATAACAGAAAGTTGTGCACGTTCATTACTTTATTGTATTCATCTTGGTGACATTGACTAATAATATTCCTACATTGATAGATTTATAATTCCTGATGAACTGCTTCGTAAAATTTTTGCAAACAAGCAGGGAGAACCTATTCCTGAGTTTGATAACTCCTTTTTTCTCCATTGCCTTTAGAAATTTGGTGATCTATAAAATAGAAATGTTTAGTTTTCTATATAAATCGTATGCCATTAACATATGGCAAATGAACAAAATGAAGAGTGATTACCTTTTTATAGCTAGATTTTTTTACGTCCACATCATTATCTGTTCCAACAGGACGTGAGGGAAGAATATACGCAGAGTAAAGTTGCGAACTTGTGATAGGAAAAGTTCCAGATGGTGTCAATTTTTCCAATAGAGCCTGATAAAATGATGCCTGCAAAAGATTATCGACTTCTGTTTATATTTTTAGATTAAAGTCGATTATAAATTGATTTATGTGAAAGATATATGATGGTAAATTAAATTACCTGCAGTGGTGTATTTTGAAGATGATTTATCAACACCACTGTTTTTAGATTCTGATTCCTCTTCATATGAGCCTTCAATCACCTGTTCCTCATCATTTGTTGTCTCTGCATGCAGATCAGCGATTTCACCACTCTCTTCAATTGCCTCATCTGTAGTTTCATTGAAAGCCTGCTCTTCCGATTCTTGATCCTGGGAAACAGAATCGGTTTTAACTTCCTCATCTTCGGGAAGTTGACTCTTGTCTCCCATACTCCACAAATGATCTCGGTAAATATGAACGATTTGTACGGCGATGCCCTTTTTTACTGATCCGGGTTCAAGTGTGTTAGTAGGTACACACATGAAACCTACAGCAAGTGGATAACTGAATAAATTTGAAAATTAGAATTAATATCTGATCAATATTAAACAAAAATACATTTCAAAAAATGACATACGTAGATCCTCTAATAGTAATAGACACGATTTCTCCTTCTCTAACATCCGGTAATCCTTCGGGAGGAAAAGCAATGCCAGGAATCATTAAATTTGCGCCACCTCTTAACTTTGAGATTACAGGAGCAAACGTGGGAATCTTTGGCAAAAGATTAGGAAAACGCCATAATATGTAAACTTTTTAAAGGTTAATTTAAACAAATTATTTATACGCTTTGAATGCATTAAAAAGAAAAAAAAAGAAATAATTACCACTAGGTATCAGGATATCTTTCTTGTCTTTGTCGAACCTAAACCATATGGGGTTTTTTTCCTCGATATATATCATTCCATGGAAATCATTATAAGTGGTTATATTAGCTCTATGAATGCGATCAGGAAGGATAAAAACATTTTGTTCGCTTTGCTTTGTTTCATAACTTGAGAGCTCTGGGAAACGTTTTGTCAGCTCCTCGCGTAATTTGCGACGGTCGGAATTGCTCAAAAGCCAAGATTTGACATTTGTGGCAGGTTTCTTGAACATCTTTTGTAGAAGGATATTTAATACCTAAACGTTGCGAGAACATATATGATTGTCCGTTACACGGATCAACAGGTCAAATAATTACCGTTACAGTTACGCGTTATTGCAGATTTGATCTAAATTGTTAGCTACACCAATTCTTCTATTATATACTATATATATGCAACGAAAAAAAAAACACCCTTTCCTTATTTTACCTATTACAATAATTTAAAATTATCCGGAATGCAGGAATGTGGCAGTGTTAGGCTATGACTCGTTATGACCTATAGTCTAATTATAGTCTAATTATAGGCTGACCTTATGACATATTATGACATAAATTTACTATATATACGTACAGTATATATTGATAGGAATCCATTAGGTATTTTACATTCACCTTTACTATAGTAGAAACTAATAATTTTATTTTGACAAATTTCACAAATTTCAAGTTTTCATATTTAATCGATCCCAGTGAAATCATTTTATTCATACAGATACAGATACTCCCGTTTTGTAATTTTTCGATTACTTTTGTAACCATCAAAGAATCAAAGTCAAATTGATTCGAAATCACTTGAGGGATCCCGAATCCAAATTCATCTATTATATAGATACTTGTCTAGAATATTCTACATGAATTTTTGCAAAATCTATGTAGAACAGTAAATAGATGATCTTCAAACAAAAACATAGCAATGTATAGAAGTTGTGGCTAGAGATGTACCTTTCGCGAGATACCTGGCAAATCTCGCGCAAGCACGAGTCATATGATGAGAATTCAGTTTAGATCATATTAATCGATTTATCTCGATCCAGATGGAAGATCCATTTGATTGGTTGTCGATCCTTGAAATTTCATTGGCTGCATATAACAAGTGTTCTACATACGTACGTATGTATATGAAAACGCCAAATCAAGTAACATCGAAGAATAAAATTTTTTTGAAATTTTATCGACTGTTTGCTATACAAATTTATGACTTGCAAATAGAAAGTCATAAATTTGTATAGCAAACAATCGATGAAATTTCAAAAAAAAATTTATTCTTAATCAGATAATCAGATCCGTTGACGATTTATCGTATGATCGATTGTATTTTCATATATGGGTGATACACAGCAAAACCATGCTTAGAGTATATATAATCTATATACTCTAAGCATGGTTTTGCTGTGTACTCAACTCACCCATATGGTGTTACTATGAAGATCAACAACCAATCAAATGGGTCTTCCACCATGCTAGATCCACGCAAGTCGCGTGAAATCGCAGTCGCGCGAAATCGCAAGTGTGATAGTTTCATCATCTCGTGCTAGGTACATTTCTAGTTATTTGATAGCTTCTACTTAATTAAAAAATAACTTCAAAATTCATAAAAGTATCCATATCTTTTTCTGGATTTGAAATTTGCAATAGATAAGATTATGTTTTAGATTTTGACAATTAATCTTACGCATTTTAAGAATCAACATTGAAATTTATCACTTCTTTATATTAATCATCAATAAAAATAACATGAAACGTTCTTTATAAAATTGATTATGAATCATACGCTTGAATTTATGTTTCGAGCCTCTTAATAAAAGTTATTATAAGATTCAATCACGGATACTGTATTATTTCAATGATATAATTGATAAATTCAAACCATCAACGAATACTTCAAAATCACTATGTGAACAACATTTATGCATTGATGCTTTATACACTCTTTGATCGTACGTATTCATAATTTATTTATATTAGTCGATATTAATCAATATATTAATATCAAACTTATATTTTCATAAATCTTGTAGAATGGACTCAAATGATGCATACACATTCATAAATATATAAATATATATATAATATTGGCTTTTCTCGTTATATTTTTTTCGTGCAAGAAAAAAAAGATGTACGGTTATTCTAAAATACTTTTAAACCTTACTTTATTTCTAATTTTCTCAACTTTAATCGCATCACATGTCGCAAACCCCTATGATCGTCGTTCTCTAAATTCATTTCCAACAAACTCCAATAATCACAAGAAACGTTTTCCAAATTCATATTCTATCACCAAAAAACGTTCTCGCGAACCGATGGGCCCTTCTAGAAGGGATGTCACTAAATTCAAAAAACGTGGACTCTTGTGCGGCAGTCCTCCACAATTAAATCAGTGTGGTGTTAAATCTTACGTTAAATCAGTCTTACATAACGCACTTTGGGGACCACCACCTTGTGAAGCACCTTGTGAAGTTCCTTGTGAAGCACCTTGTGAAATTCCTTGTGAAGTTCCATGTGAAGCTCCTTGTAGATTTCCCTGTAAAGCTCATTGTGAAGCTCCTTGTGAAGCTCCTTGTAGATTTCCCTGTGAAGCTCCTTGTGAAGTTCCTTGTAGATTTCCCTATGAAGTTCCTTGTGAAGTTCCTTGTGAAGCTATTCCGGTGAACTGTTGTTAATTCATGATTGCAATTTTCGTATATATAACGCGGATTTGAATGGTGATATTCAGATGCAATCTCTATGATTAATAGATGCGCTCTTTAATTATTCTCTAGAATTTTTTTAAATGTAATAATATTTCACGTGTAGTGTGGTGTTGAAGGATAAGTAAAGAAAATTATACAATTATTTCTTTATCCAAATTATATCATTAAATTGTTTACACTTGGATATAGTATTTACATATATAAATGACTTAGAAATCTTCATATGATATACTATTATGTTTGTCAAAGTAAAATAATGTCCCAATTTTTAGTGCAAAAAAGCTCTTTCAAGAATTTCAGGGCATAAATAAAGCAAGTAATTATAATATACCAATATTCAAAATTTATCTATATGAGCTTATATAAGGCCATACAAAGTTAATTTTTTGGTTCTCATAACATAAAATTTGAAAAATGACCCGGCAACCCGGCTTTTAATTTTATTTTCAAAATATTATATATATAAAAAAGCATATAAAAATTTTTATAAACATCTAAAAAAAACTTCACCCGGATAATAAATATAGTTAAGAATTTTGCGAAATTTGACCCGGCCGGGTTATGAGAACTAATTTTTAAGTTTGTATGGCCTAATTAGAAAATTTTGATGATAATTAGCAATTGCATCCAGAACCAAGAAAAATTGTACAGTAATCAACAAGCAAATGTTTTATTTATTCATTGATGCAACCTTTAGAATATGCTAGAAAAAATAAAACCGATCGCAAAAGAAATAAACGAACACCAAAAAAATCCCTTTTGTAGTAAAATTTACAACTTATTAATCATAATTATATAATTAATTGATCTTGTATTTAGGTGTTAATGTTGTATCTGTAGTAGCTACCTATCTGAAGTAACTACTTTAGGTACCTTTCCAGAATTAACGCGTGAAGATTTAATTTTAGGGACCTAATTTCGGTCAGATGCTTCTTAAGTGGCTACTTCAAATAAATTGCTACTCCAGATTCAACATAGACGTTTGTTCTTGTTGAAAAAGAAGTCTGCTCATAATGAAAGAAATGGTTTAAAAGTATCGAATCAAACTTTGTAGCAATCTGAAAATCGGTTATAATATGTATAAAAAGTTTTCAAAACATGAAATTGACAAATGAAAATTTTCTACTAGAGATAAATTATATTGTCATGGACCGTTAGGCATTGGCATGAACTTTTTTCACAGTAGCCTTCGAAAGTTTGTCACTGTTACACAGAAAAACATTACTGAATTAGCAAGATTGTTGTACTCTAACGCTAATCCTCCTTTTTTGAAATCAAAATTAGTAGAATTATAAATTATCCTAAAAACAAAGGGTTTAGGTAGCACTTGTATTCACAATATAATAACAATTTGTGTCAAACTTTTGGATGCTCATATCGATATATTGCCCGAGTCCTTGGCATAGAGACATTACCTGTTATAGTCGCAAACTATTCTAGGTCATTTATATATATTTGTCGAACAATAATTAGATGTGTTATCTAAATGGCGTGATCTAGGATTTTAACTCTTGCTAAACCATGTATCGGTATAGGATAAATAAAAGCATCGTTACACGTACCAGGATAACAAACATATGGCCATTGTATTATTGGTTCCATCGAACTTGGAAATTGCAATTCATGAATCCAGACCATGTATAAATTGGTCAGGGTTCAAAAATGATTACGTACCTATATATATATATGAACAAATCTTTTTTCATACGTAGAGGCATTTTTAGAATCAAAAGTTTAAGACATAAACATACCCTGTGTACAGACACGTAGTGTACAAATAGTATTTCCCTATATATATATTTTTTTTTCATTCATTGTTCATTTAAAAAAAAAAAACCTTAATGAGAACACAGTTGCTATTAGTATACGAAATAAATTAATTCTTTTGCATTATGGGAAATAATACGATCGCGCAATATTCGAGCATAAATGACAGAATAATTCAGCAAAACCAAAATGATCCTAATACTCCATGTCGTTGGGACTTGTCAATCATAACTAATTGCGAAGAAAGCATATACTTTGTTCGGATATATTACGTTTCAATAGCGTTATGTTTTATGATCTTAGCTTTGTCACTAATTATTTTAGTTTATAAAATTCCTTGGAGTAATAATCTAATATTAAGTATGGAACCCATTAAGGGTTTTTTGATCTGGATAGCTTTACACGGAACATGTATGTATCATTATAAAACTTGTATTAAATACAAGCTTCAAATATTTTAATTCCTGGTATTATAGCCTATAACAATAGCAATTAACTAATTATCTTTTTTTTTTTTTCAGTTCGAGCCGTTTCGATGTTAATAATAACGAATGATTGGTTGCACAATAATTATATTATAAAATCGATGATTCAAAATTTTGGTTGGTTGTGTGGATGCATTGCTATTGCAACATATTTAGTTAGCATGTAATTTTCCTTTTTTATATAAAATATTTCGTTTACGTATACATAACGATAACTTTATATAACTTAAAATTTCAAATTTAGATTTAAAGTGCTTCCTCGATTAGCATTACATCAACACACTGTTTTCAGTATCAATGCAGACCTTCCTCATGACCATCTGACGGTTAATCGTTTCATACCAAGCAATAATACAATATTTAGAATATATTGGACGTTTACAATTACTATAATTATTTGCAATTTAATACTATCGATATTAAAAGGATATTTTCAAATGACTGATCAAGAGTCATTATTTAATATAATTCAATCTATTATATTAATCGAATTTAGCATTGCATATTTGTTAGGAGCTTTGTGTTTCTTAAAATATGGAAGACTATTGGTTAAATTGCTTGATGAAAGTGCTATAATATTGGGATTGAAAGATAAAATAAATTCAGTGAATTTAGAAAATTATCGTACTTGTTTAACAAAGGTATATTTTTTTCCTGCAATTGAATTAAATTCATGATAATTACAAAATACTTACATGTACATAGCTCAGGGTTGTGAATCTTAGCCTCTCGATTACAGCTTGCTGGTTAGGATTTGTAGCCTTTTTTGTAGCTTTCTTCAGAAATAGGTTATCTCAATTCGCAGTATGTCAAATCATATTAGCAGTTGTAACTTTTGATGTAACCGCTATGACAAAGTTAATTACGCTTTTTGGAATTATTTATGGGTATGTTTAGTTATAAAATATTGATTTGTTAAAGTAACAGAAGAATCATTTACTTTTTCATTCATACAACTTTTCGAATTTATAGTGAAATATATAAACGACACAGTATCAAAGCAGAAGAAATTACGACTTCAATCGTTTCTGATATTACAGCCTCGGATATTGCCAAATATAAACGGTGAAATATTTATTTTTTTTTGGCAAAAAAAACAAAAAACATAAATGATAAAATCTGGTAAAAAAAAAAAAAAAAAAAACATAATAAAAATGTTTAAATTTATGGATAAAATTTTAAAATTTGCTCTATTCGTAATGAATAAATAAATATATATATGTTATGCGTCGTTGATTGATTCCTGTCATTCAATGAATGACATGTAATTTTGGCGATTCCAAGAATAACGCATGTTATACCTTGAAATTGATATCGATATGAATTTTGCCAATTTAAACATTAAAGCATTTCTTTAAAAATATATATATTCGCATTTAGAATGAAACATCATTATTATATAAATATTAAAGCATTCCTTTAAAAAATATATATATCACATTTAAAATGAAATAGCATCGGTATTATTCTAAATTATACGAAAAATTAAAGCAAATTTTTTTTAAAAAAATTTAACACAACTAGCTATTGTTATCTGTTTTTGCTTCACAATTAGTTTTTCGACAGTGACAGCTAATAGTTTTTTTGGATTTAATTTTTTGCATGGAAAGATTATGATTTGAATTTCACTAAAAAAAATTCTATTAATATTAACTAAAAAATTAAATTTAATATCGATAGAAAAAATAAATTCATATTCTGATAAATTATCTGAACTTTCATTAAATTCTTGATTAACTTGACTTGAGCTTGAAGCTTGAGTTACAGGTGTATAATTTCTTGAGCTTGAAGCTTGAGTTGCAGGTGTATGATTTTGTTTGATACTTGCTTGTCTTAATGAAAGTGTTTTATTTAATGGAACAATATTAAGATCAGGATAGTCAGGTGTACCTAATAGTTCAAGTTCACTTGTGGGATACCAGTTGTCAAGTATTCCAAACTTGCAAGCAATTTGATAAGAAACTTGATTAGGTTTTTTTTGAATAATTTTGCAGGGTAATGATTGTCTATTCATTTTTGTTTTATCAATGTTAGGAATACGAATTTTTACAAATTCACCAGGTTCATATACCTGATTTCATTTGGTTCTATATTTTATTTCCATTGTATTTTTAATAATATCCTGATTTTTTTTAATATTTGAAATAGCAGCTTGATGGATTTTACTATGTTGTTCAAATGTAGGATAAGTTGAATTTGAAGTTGTTTGTTGTGGTTCTATAGATGATTCTTACCATTTTTCTTTTTCTTGGGCTATATAATGATAAGATTGATTTTCTGAATCACTACTAATTATAATAGTTTCTTGTGAATTAATTATATTATCAAGTGAATCCATTAAATCATTATAATTCTAATCGTTTAAATTATAATCATTATTATTAGATATAATAGGATCTTCTAAATTAAGTTTAGATTCGAAGTCATCTGCAAAAGAATTATTTGGATTACAATTATATAATAATGATTCAGTTTGATTATATAACTTATTCTGATTATAGTAATCATTTAAAATAGACAAATAATCATATGACTTATTATTGTTATTAAATAATTCTTCTTATTCATAGTTGTTATTTATTAAAATATCAGCTAATCTAGTTTCACTATGAGGTAATTGTCCAAATACTAGATTGTAAGGTGTAGTTTTGTGCGCAGAACAGTATTGATTATTCATTGCCTCTATAGTAAATTATTAAAATAAAAAAAAAAATATTAATAATAAATTAGTTAATTAAAGGTTTTAAAATTAATAAATAAATAGTGTATTTCAAAAATAAGTAGAATTTTTAATAATATTTTTACTAAATAAATTATAAATGAAAAATAAAATAAAATTCTTTAATATTAATTTTAAAACCCCCTATTTATAATAAATTTTTAGATTTTGTATGTCAATTTATTAAAAAAAAATATGCAAACTATATATTAAAAAATTAATGCTAATAATAATAATAAATTTTATTATAAATTAAATATTGATATTAAAAAATGCTTACAAATTATAAATTTCAAGCCAACACTCCAATCATCTCTAGATGTTTCTTCTATCCAACATTCCAACTTCGTTTGAAGAATATTGTTTCCTTTCTCAACAAGACCTTGACATTGAGGATTTTTAGACCTACCATGAACTAATTTAATGTTTGGCCAAAGGCTTATTGTTTCCTTAAATATACTTCCAATAAATTTGCCTCCATTATCTGTATGAAGAATTGCAGGTGGACCATACATTAAACAAAAATTAAATAATATTATAGAAGCTTCTTTAGCTGATTTAGATTCTGCTGGTTCTGCATATAAAAAATGGGTAAAATAAAATATGTATTTAAATTTTCCATCAGATATTGCCATCATATCAATTGTATCAAGCTATAAATAATATAATATTTATTTATTATTATTTTATAGCTAAATTATTATTAACATTATATATTAAGATTTATATATATACCTGAACATAATTCAAAAAACCTTCAGCAACAATTGGTCGAATTGGTGGAACCCTTTTAGTTGCTCGTTGAGTAACACATACTTTACATTCACGAATTGCATCTTCAACTATTTGTTGTGGAATATAGCAATATCTAACTCAGATCTTAAAAATATATAAATACAATTTTTATATAATTGCTTAAATTCAAATTAAATAAAAATAGATACTTTTTTTCAGGTTTTTTCTTGACCTCCATGTTCTGTTGCCTGATGCGCAGCACAGATTGCTTCATAAAAATTCTCAATTAGACAAACTTGTGTTCCCAAATTATTTTCATTCCATTTAAGTAAATGAAGCTCTTCTGTCATACCAATACGAAGTATCTTAAAAGTATTAGTAATCCAGTATTTAAGTTTCGAATCATGCTGTAGGCTTGGATTTTTTAATACATTTAAACATTCATTATAATGACTAATGTCCATTAAGCTTCGTTTAATTTTTTTTGGCTAGTATGTTTTCTAATATTCTATCAAAAGATTCATGAGATAGAAAACTATATGATTGTGGCTCCATAATTTTAATAAAAAAAAAAAATAAAACATCATTTAACAAATTTTAATTATTATTTTATTTAATTTTTACTGATACTGATTATTAATTTTTTTTACTAATGCATAGTTAAACATTTGTTGCATTATTAATTTAATAAGTCCGATAACCATTCTATCAATAACCCAGGTTATTAATGGACTGATAAATAACATATGTCAATCACTGAATGATGGAATCAACCATCGACACATAACATATATATGTAATGTAATTATAAGATTAAATTTATATTGTTTCTACTGTAGGATATCTAATAAGCAAAAATATACATTAATTATTAAACTGGATTGTGTGCAACTAATTAAAAGCATTTTTTGTAAAAATTTACTGTACATAAATTTGTAAACCTAGTTCTTTAAAAATTAACTTTAAATCTGTTTTAAACAAAGTTTAAAGATAGAAAGTGCATATTATTTGTTCCAATTGTAATTATAAATTGAAAAAACATTTTGTTATATCCGATTATAAATAAATTACATATTATTATGCTTACAAGTATAAGAACCAAATCAATGTTTTTATTTATAAAGTTTAAAATTCTAACTGTACAAAATTATTGAAACCTGATCTATCTCTAATATATTATATTCTTGTTTGGGTTTATATTACTCGTAAATAAGTAAATTCCTCTGATGAACGTAATAAATATAATTTATACTGTATTAATATTATACTACTATGTAGAAAATAATTTCGTTGGTTTTTCCGCTATACATTGCATAGACGTAAATCTTTTTAAAATGTAGAATAAGAAAAGAAATATATACTTATAATACTGTACATGTACAACACCTAGATTTCGTTTATATTCATATCTAAAATAATTTTTTCCTGGATAACATAATGTGCATTAGGTTAATAAGCCTCATTCAATTCTCTAATCGCGATATAATATAATCAATATTAATATTATTAAATTAAAAAATAATATTTGTTAAAACCAGTGTGTATTTGTCTAAAGATATTTGATATTTATTAAAAAAATGTATAATATACAATTGTCCAAGATATAATCAAAATACAACATCATTCAATATAAGGCTATATAAAAAAATTTTTTTTTCATAACCCAGTCAGGTCAAAATCTAAAAACTTGTAAAAAAATTTTTTTATATATTTTAATAACCGAGTAGGTTTTTTAAAAAAAAATTTAAAAAAATTTATAAAATTTTTATATATACAAATTAAAAAAAAAAGTCAAACAGTTCTATGTTATGAAAACCAAAAAATTTTTTTTGTATAGCCTAATGTTTATTATTTGTAAATACTGTATATAGTTAAGATCTTAATACATCGAAAAAATAATTCAGAAGTATTAATAAAACTAAAATTTATATATAGAATAACACCTGTTAGCTACTATCAAATAAATTTAGTGCCCAGGCTACACGACGAGGACGTCGGTACTAAAGGTGACCCAGAAGATGATAATAAATAGGGGAAAAAAAATTACTATTTTAAAAATAAGATACGAAGCTTATTCTAATTTAAAAGGTTTCTACATATCAATGTTTTAGTAAAATTCTTGAATTGAACTTATCCTTTAGTAAGTCACTTCTTGGATAGAATCATGTGTCATACTTTTCTAGGTTTTTATCCTGTATATAAATGGTTGTATATAAATGGATACGAAAAAGGTGGTGGGATTGGTATCTTTGAATGCACTTTTTTGTAACATGGCCAGACTTCCAACAGCGAGTAGTATTTTTGAGTACATCCTTTGGTAAACGTGTCCGAGCTTCTAACAGCAAGTGGTATCTTTGAGTGCACTCTTTGCAATGTAGGCAGAAACGTATGCGGAAATATGGACAGGCATGGAAAAGTCTTATGACACCTATCAGTTATGTCATGGTGCAAAAATCATGTGAATGATAAGGTGTCCGGGACAGGCATGTAGGGGACATGAACGGGAGACCGGACTTCCAACAGCGAAGACAATATTTTCTGTATTCTTCTGGGATTAGCAGGCATTCTTCTATAGTACGCTAGAAATGCTAAATGTCGATCAAAACTCTGTCAATAAATTGAACAATAATAAAAATAGAGATTTACTTTAGATCACCGGCGGTGAATATAACTGGTGGTGAATTTAACCATTAATTCATTATGTAACACAAAATACTAATATGTAAAATGCTATAAAATGTAATTTGCAGATCTTATATAAATACCAAATTGCAAAAATCATACTAGTTATTTTTATATCCTATTCTAGTTGGGTATTCAATATCGAAGTTTTGAATTTTAGTGTTGCAGTCTATTCCAAAGGTGACGAGGTGTTGCAAGGTTGTATTCAGTATTGAGATTGTGTGTTACTGTTGAGATGGTGAGGTGTGGTTACGTTCCAGTTGTAAGATAATACACATTCTAGTAGGAAGTCGCATTCCAGTTGCAAGATCAAACACCATTCCAGTAGGAAGTCGCATTCCAGTTCAAGATCATACACCATTCCTGTAGAAAGTCGTATTTCAGTGCTGAACAATTTTTTTTTAGCAAACATTTGGGTCATATTCAATTAGAACCTTTTTTTTTTTTTTTTTTTTTGTTTGCAAGAATATTAGCAAACAATTTTTTTTTTTGTGTAAAGACGAATAGGTTAGTATCGGTTTATTTATTTATGATAGAAAAATTGTGTTATGTTTTATAATCATGAACATTTAAGCTTATTTACAAGGATACTGATCATAATTACTTACTACTTGCATATAGATATATAACGCTATGATGAACAATAAACGTCCTATTTCTGAAGTAGGGTTAGAAGAGGATGCTGTAGATGATAATGAGTCACAAGAGTCTGAAAATGAAAGTATAGTTTCTGAGACAAATAGTGAAATAGATGAAAGTATAGAGGAAAATAGCGAAATAGATGAAAGTATGGAGGAAAATAGCAAAATAGATGAAAGTGTGAAGGAAAATAGTATGGTATTTGGACTTAAAGTGAGAGATGAATTTATGAATTGGGATGCTGCTGAAAGACAAGTTCAGAACTATGCGATGGAAGTTGGATTTGATCTGGTCAAATGTTGTCTTGAAAAGAATAAGCATGGTGAAATTGTACATCATACATTTGAATGCAAGAATTCTAGTAAATATAAAGCAAAAAAAAAGGCTGATAATGAAGATGTTCACGAATGTAAAAGTGCAAAGGTGAATTGTTCTTGGAGAGTCAACCTTAATTTATCTGGTGGTGCTGTATATGTCACTTTATTAAATGAAGTGTATAATCATTTGTTATATAAGAAAATACAAGATGTCTCGTCAAAACATCGTCGTCTCAGCCCTAAAATGCTTAACGAAGTCGAATTTCTTGTAAATATTGGCTGTGAAGCTGGTATGATAATTCATGGGCTCCAAAAACTTTTTCCTGATACAATAATACATCCCAAAAATGTATATAATGCAATTCAACTTTTTAAACGTAATGAACATTTAATTAAAACTGATGCCTCTGAAACATATGAAAGGTTAATAAAATTGCAACGTGAAGAGACTGGCTAGTTTGTTGAGGCACGATTAGAAGGTGAAGACAACCATCTTATAGGTTTGTTTTGGATGAGACCCTCACAAGTTGAACTATGAAAAAAATTCTATGATATTGCAATTAATGATAACACTTCAAATACTAACAAATACCGAATGTATTTATCTCTTATAATAATTGTGGATAATCATGGGTGTTCTTAATTAGCTGCAACAGCTGTTATTTCAGATGAAACAAAAGAATCATATTAATGGATACTTAATTGTCTATTATGCACTACTGGTGATCTTGCACTGAAAGTATTATATACAGATGCTGATCCTAGTATGAATGCAGCAGTTAATGAAGTTTTACTAAATACAAAGCATAATCATTGTATTTGGCATATGCGTAGAAATCTTAAAAAAAATTTAAAAGGCAAACTACATCATGAATATAATAATTTTATTAAGGCATGGAATAAATGTAGAAATAGCCTT